CAGAACTTTAAAGTTTGGTCCCCTGTATTAAAACAAGGTTTTCTTAAAATACTGATTTGGTCTTAGTAAAATTGCAGGAGTAATTTTTAATTTGCAAATCTGTTCCCTTAATAGTAATCCTCTAAACTACAAACAGTTTCTGTTTCTGGCATATTTCCTCCTGAGATCTATATAATTTTCCTGTTTTCAGGTTGTAAATGCAGCTCTCTTTCTCTTGGTCCTTGAAAAGGTAAATTCTTTTTGCATGGCCACATGATAACCATCTCCTTCAACCTTTTTGTCATCTCCTGTAACTTTTTCTCTGGTTCTAACACTGCTGTCATGGCCTGATGCTAAAATGTTTATTTTGAAGTTCTAGAAAACCAAAGTTTTCCTTCATTATAACTTGATTTTACACTCTTGGCTTTTCTTGGTGTGTCTGAATTGTTCCATGTAACCAGGAAGCTTCCTATGTTGTTCCTAAGAACCAAGGATTTCCATGTTCAAGGTACTAGTTTTCTTGTTTACATTTCTCTATAATAGCATACGCTTAGAATTCTGGATACATTCTTTCTGTGCCTGATTAAATTCAAATACCCTTTGCATCAGGTTTCACTTTCAGGTTATGCGAATGGGCTTTCCATAAGGAGAAGCAGTCATACTAAAGGAGGTTTGTTTCCCCTTTACCTATTAGATAACTGGTCTAGTAAGCTAAGAGTCTGTGTTTTACTGAGATAATTCCTTTGCTTCATGTTGTTTTTATTAGGCTTTTCATTATTTAGGGAAACTGAACTTTTAAAAAAGGTAGGATTTTCACATCCATGTAAATCTGTATTCTTTTTGAAGTCTTCTGATTATCGCTTTGTTTATTTAGCAGTGATATATGATTCTGTATATATAATCAAGTATTTTGAACCTTTTGACACCTTTGGCAGGTTTCCTCAATACCAAAACCCTAAATTAGGACTCTTTGATCTTGTAGAGATACTAAATGATTAGACTTATTTGGCAAATCATATGGGAAGCATATCAAATGAGAAATGGTATTTAACTCCCTTTAAGTTATATTTATATAAATATGTTACTAATATGTGTTCCAGATTGCATGAGATCTTAAAATTCCGAGATGTTATATGATATGGTTTAGATTTGTGTCCCCAGCCAAATCTTATGGTGAAATTGTAAACCTCAATGTTGGAGGTGCAACCTGGTGGGAAGTGATTGGATCATGGGAGCAGGTCCTCATGAATGGCTTAGTACCAACTTGGTACTGTCCTCAGGATAGTGAGTTCTTGTGAGATCTAATTGTTTAAAAGTGTGTAGCACCTCCCCCCGACCAACATCTTTCTCTCTTGCTCCTGCTCTGGCCATGTGAGACATCTTCTCCCACTTTTCCTTCCGTCGTGATTGTAAGTTTCCTGAGGCCTCCCCAGAAGCCAAGCAGATGCCAGCATGATGCTTCCTGTACAACCTGCATAAGCATGAGCCAATTCAACGTCTTTTCCTTATAAATAACCCAATCTTGGGTATTTCTTTACAGCAATACAAGAATTGACTAATATATCATAATATGTGTTATCAGTCTTGAGTATGATTGTTTTGTTAAATGATTGTGTGCCACAAAAATATCTTAATTTTCTTTTAAATTTTCTTGCAATTATTTCTACATTCTTTCTAACAATTTCCTTGTAAACTCTCATCAGAGTTTTGATCATGGCTGTTCTGGATTTTTCTCCTCCACAATTATTGTTTTAAATTCTTCCCTAGTTGCATTTGCAATCAGCTATAGCCCAAAATTACTAATTAAAATTAAGGAAAACAAATAACTGAAAGTGAGTAATTGATAAGGATAATTTTATGACTTTTATTTAAAATGTTGGTTCTAAAATATTTTTTCAGATTCAAGAAATTTTTCTTTCATTAGCTATGGTTTACAATAATTTGGTGAAGTATACTTTTGTGAACACAAGTGGAAGCATTTACGTTTCTCCCTACTTGAGTCCTCCAAAATTCAGATACGATTTGTGAGCATTCTTACTGTATTTCTGTAAGTTCAGTAAACATCTGCTCTCCCTTTATAAGCAGGATACTATTGGAAATACTGATTATATTACTAGGCTTTGACTGAAAAGTCATATTTAAGAAGGATCATAAAATGCCTGGCTTCAAGAGTTCCCAGCCTTATAGTGAATGCATAAAACTTGTCACTTCCTGGTAGGCCCAATAACCTTAAGACCCTAAGTAAAATCTAAAGCCTGCCTTGATTTGGCTTCTTAGTCTCTAGAGGTTCTAAAACCTGAAAGTTCCTGTATGATTAATGTGGAGGAAAAAGTCATGTTCTTAAGAAAAACTAACATGCACCTATTATTAGGTTAAAGCCCTGTGCCCTGTTTTCAAGTTCTGGTTTTCTACCTGTAGACTGGACTGGATCCTGAGTTCTCCTAATTTCCTACAATATCTGGCTACAATTAAATCCTGATAAAGTTTACCAGCCCTCTTCCCTCAAGCAGAACTATAGAGCCTCTCAGGACATTTCCCCTACTCGAATTACTCAACTAGGGGAATTAGGTATTAAGATTGGAGAAAACTCATCAGAGCTCTGGTCAACACTGGGGCTACTCTGTCCATCCTTAACCCCAGCATGCTTTCCATGGACCCTCCCCAGGGTTCTGAATTCATCCAGATGGTTGGGGTAGCCAACCAACCTATGATGGTTCCTAATCTTCACCTATCCTTTTCCAACTAGTACCCCTCATGGGCAGTTGTTTTTCGTTCGGGCTTCCACACACTTCCTAGGAAGGGACTTCTTAGAAATATTCCAGGCCCGTATTTTATTCTCCCAGAAAGGAGAAATAATACTTGAGTTATCCTCACCAGGAGATTTTGCCACGGAAATACCTTTTCCCAAATTCCCATCTATTCAGTTATCCCCACCAGCACTACCTACCCTGTTCTCTAACAGTTATAATCCAACACTGATGATAACTCCTTAGATTATGAAAATAATAGTTGTTGATACTCTCAAGGATATAATTCATCTAGAAGAGTTAACCCTAGAAGGAGCTAGATTAGGAAGGTTTTTTGGGTCCCAATTTAAACTAGATTCTGCTTGGAATTCATAAATGATCAGAAACCCTTCCTGAACTGTTCACAGAATTGCCTGCTCCACCACCCAAGCGATCAGAGTGCAACAGAGGTCCATAGACTCCCTTGCTCGTGTGGTCCTAGACAAACACATTGCTTTAGACTCTCTCCTCCCTGCACAGAGTGATGTTTGCGCTGCTGCTGCCACTTTCTGCAGGGTAAATACTTCCAGGCAGGTTGAATTGGGAACATGTAAGATCTTAAGGTTAGCCAAATCTCTGAAAAACACCTTCAAAAAGCCTCCTGGCTGGACTTCCTAGGTTAAGTTTCTGATCTCCAGGTATTTCCAGCTGGCTTCCGCTGCAGTAGGGTCCCTTCTGCATGCCACCCTCCAAGTCTTGATCCTCTTCATGTTTGGGCTAAGCATTTGGCGCCTCTTTAAGATTTTCCTAGCCTATTTTAACCGATGCCTGCAAGAGACCCCCACTAGAATCGTGCTGACCTAACCTTTGAGATTTCAAACTTTCTCCAGCCAGAAAGGGGAACCAAGTTAACCCAAAAGAATTTGACTCAAATTTAACAGGTACCTGTATGCCTCTCATGATCACACGTGTATGCAGAAGTGAGATCTAGCAAAAAGTGATTTTCAATTGTGCAAGACCATGGCCTGAGAGTTTAAGAAACTTTGGGCTGAGATTTCAAGGACTTGAGATATAGCTACTGTTGAATATTTGGTAATCATTAAGCAGACAATTTTGCAGATGTTAAATGTTAAGTTAAACATGTTTAATGTTTTATTTTAAGTAAAATAAGTCATTTCTGTTTCAATTCAGAATATGACAGTATCAGAATAACAGGAGCTATCCCTAACTGAACACTTAAAGTTTGCCAGGCAAACTTCATTTCTCTGGATTTCTCAAAAATTGTCAGTTTTACTCTGCACAAAAATCGCATGAGATATGCGGCTTTGCTGATAAAGAAATGGAAATCCAGAGAAATGAAGTCACTTACTCAAAGTCACCCAGCTACATGATTTGTGGCTCTGGAAGTTCAGCTACTAGGACTCTTCCAGCTTTCTACAGGTGTCATGAAAGCACAAGACCACACACACACAGCTCTGATGAAAGACGGCTAAAAGGAAGATTTCAGTAAAAAGGTCAACAAGGCTTTCTAAGAAAACTGTAAAGATAAATAAACGATGGGTCGCAGTAATTCTCACCAACTAGGAAGCATCTTAGAAAAGCACTGGATTTCCTCTAACTAAAAGCATCTATAAAAAATGATATCAAAATACAGGAAGATGTAAATACCTAAATTCTAACACTGTCACCTTGCATACATTAGGCTGAATGGCTAATGGACTAAGACATAGATTCAATTTTTGTTCCATGCGTTTTTACTGTGATCTGAAAGGGGTCTTGAGGTGAATGATCCTGTACTCATCCTCCACCAGCCAATCAGTCTGTTTATTATTTGGCTCTAAAAAGAAACTTTTCCTGAGGACCCCCCCCCCACTATGATGGAGCAAAAACTATTACTTGGCTATGTCAAGAGAAAGCAATGCAACAAGTACAAAGCGTGCTGATCAATGCACCTGTGTCTATCTCTATCAGACAGAAAGCTAGATATTGATAGAGACTGCTATCCTCATCTGTAACTACATCAAGCTAGAGAGACTGTTATAATACAAGTGGTCTGAGGCAGCCGTGAGTAGAGAAACCAGGAATGCTGGTCTCGATCTCTAGACTTCAGTCTTGGCCCTGTTTCAACTTTCACTTTCGTGTGTGAAAAATCGAAACTCTAACTCAACTGAGTGTTAGTCAAAGAAGGTGTGTCCTGCTCCCCACGACAGGTTGCTCAGAGACTGCTGATTTCCACCCCTATATAAAGAGAGTCCCCGGCATACAGGGACTGCTGTGCTCCGGGCGTCTGCCACCATGTGGGTACTCACGCCTGCTGCTTTTGCTGGGAAGCTCCTGAGTGTGTTCAGGCAACCTCTGAGCTCTCTGTGGAGGAGCCTTGTCCCGCTGTTCTGCTGGCTGAGGGCAACCTGGCTGCTAGCTTCCAAGAGGACAAAGCAGCAGCTGGTCTGGAGAGAGCCAGATGAGACCAAAGAGGAGGAAGAGGACCCTCCTCTGTCCACCACCCCAACCAGCGTCAACTATCACTTCACTCGCCAGTGCAACTACAAATGCGGCTTCTGTTTCCACACAGCCAAAACATCCTTTGTGCTGCCCCTTGAGGAAGCAAAGAGAGGATTGCTTTTGCTTAAGGAAGCTGGTGAGTCTATGGTCCCAGACAGAAATCAGGATTCTCAACCATTCGGCAGTAGGGTAAGGCGAGAAGGGGCTGGGGGCACACACAAGCTGGTGAGCTTCTCCAAAACTCAAGGTCACCATTTGCCATTGCACGGTGAGCATGTTGTCCTAGGAGAAAATAATTCAGTGAATTTTGGAGTGGGCACCTAGTCCTTCCTAAATCCCAGAGTTGGCCTGGAGCAGGGGATTTGTGGAGCAAACCTGTCCCTCCTGCCACTTGGAAGTGAGCAGGGGTCTATGCAAAGGGCAGGTCCCTGTTACACTCGGTGTTTGGAAAGAGGCGGTTTGGGAAGATTGTACCACTTTCTGAGTTTGCCCACAACACTAATGAATTTGGGTTTTCTAGAAACAGTTATTAATAATTAGGAAAGTTGGAAACAAAAACAAAAACTTTGACGTAAAAACAGCAGCGGTTGAATCTTATATTTGAGTTTGTGTATATTCTTTTAATAGGAAGCCTTACAATTTTTTTGGCAAATATGTCAAGGACTTAGCTCTCAAGAATGCTTACTGAGTATCACCACGTTAGTAACTGGCAGCATCTTGGAGAGTACTCAGCATGTGACCTTCGAATGCAGCATCTTCCACTCCAGATCTGTTCTTCCTTCCATCCTTGTCTTCCTGTCTTTCTTAGAGTACCTTCTCAGCTAGTAACTTCAGCAACATCTCTAGCTTCTTTCCCTCCTTGTTTAACTTTTTAACGAAAGCATAGCATACATGCACCATATTACACATATTCTGGGTGTGCATCCTGATGAATTTCACAAAACAGTCACACTCATTTTCTCCAAACACCAAAATCGCTAAGACAATGGTCATATTGTTGTCTCTTCCTAGAATGTCTGTCCTCAAATCTTTGTTGATGAACTTTCAAAGCTCCTTTGAATTCTCCTTGGTTCTCTGCAGCCATAATTATGCCCTTTACCTTTCACTTGTGAACTCATGGCACTTGCTACAAATGTGTCTTGCAGCTTTTTAAAATGTACTATTTTGTTCAGTTTTTTTTTTTTAAATATCTGGTTCCTCAAAGAAATTGTATTCCAAGGTTGAATTTTACCCTCCTGTGTATCTTCATGCCTGGCAGAATGTCTAGAATGTAATAGAGGCTTAAGAAATGTTTTAGATAAATGAATGAATGCATGAGTGAGTGAATAAGGAGACATGTCGAGTGAAATTTCGACTTTCATTCAGAAGGCCAGGGTTTGAGTTTCTGCTCTAACATTTTCTAGACTTGTCAAGACATTTAGCTTTTCTGAGTATCAGTTCCATAATCTTTAAAATTATCTTTAGATAATAATGATAACTGATAAACCAATCTCAAAAGTTGGTACAAGGCACAAACAAGTGAATGTTCATGTATTGTGTCATAAAAGATAATTTTTTTTTAATCAAAATAAACAGTTGTGTTTATTAAAGTACATTATCAACAGAATGAAAAGGTAACCCAAGGAATGGGAGAAAATACTTGCAAGTCACATATCTGAAATGGGATAATTATATGAATTATATTTTAAAAAATTCTCCAATTCAACAACAAAAAGCAATGTAATTAAAATATGAGCAATGGACTTGAAAAGACATTTCTTCAAAACAGATATACAAATGAAATTAAGAATATGAAAAGATTTTCAACATTTCTAATCACCTAGGGAAATGCAAATCAAAACTACAATAAGATACCACTTCACATCACTTCATATTTTAGGATGGACAGTATATTTTAAGAATACAGAAAATAACAAGTGTTGGTAAGAATGTAGAGAAATTAGAAGCCTGTGCACTGTTGATGGGAATAAAAAACGGTACAGCCATTATGGAAAACTGTATTGCAGTTCCTCAAAAAAATTAAAAATAGAATTACCATATGATTCAGTAACTCTACTTCTGGGTATATACCTAAAAGAATTAAAAGCAGGGCCTCAGAGATATTTGCACACCCATACTCACTGCAGCATTTTTCTTTTTTTTAAAATTTATTTATTATTATTATACTTTAAGTTGTAGGGTACATGTGCATAACGTGCAGGTTTGTTACATATGTATACTTGTGCCATGTTGGTGTGCTGCACCCATCAACTCGTCATTTACATCAGGTATAACTCCCAATGCAATCCCTCCCCCTCCCCCCTCCCCATGATAGGCCCCGGTGTGTGATGTTCCCTTTCCTGAGTCCAAGTGATCTCATTGTTCAGTTCCCACCTATGAGTGAGAACATGCGGTGTTTGGTTTTCTGTTCTTGTGATAGTTTGCTAAGAATGATGGTTTCCAGCTGCATCCATGTCCCTACAAAGGACACAAACTCATCCTTTTTTATGGCTGCATAGTATTCCATGGTGTATATGTGCCACATTTTCTTAATCCAATCTGTCACTGATGGACATTTGGGTTGATTCCAAGTCTTTGCTATTGTGAATAGTGCTGCAATAAACATACGTGTGCATGTGTCTTTATAGCAGCATAATTTATAATCCTTTGGGTATATACCCAGTAATGGGATGGCTGGGTCATATGGTACATCTAGTTCTAGATCCTTGAGGAATCGCCATACTGTTTTCCATAATGGTTGAACTAGTTTACAATCCCACCAACAGTGTAAAAGCGTTCCTATTTCTCCACATCCTCTCCAGCACCCATTGTTTCCTGACTTTTAATGATCGCCATTCTAACTGGTGTGAGATGTATCTCATTGTGGTTTTGATTTGCATTTCTCTGATGGCCAGTGATGATGAGCATTTTTTCATGTGTCTGTTGGCTGTATGAATGTCTTCTTTTGAGAAATGTCTGTTCATATCCTTTGCCCACTTTTTGATGGGGTTGTTTGTTTTTTTCTTGTAAATTTGTTTGAGTTCTTTGTAGGTTCTGGATATTAGCCCTTTGTCAGATGAGTAGATTGCAAAAATTTTCTCCCATTCTGTAGGTTGCCTGTTCACTCTGATGGTAGTTTCTTTTGCTGTGCAGAAGCTCTTTAGTTTAATTAGATCCCATTTGTCAATTTTGGCTTTTGCTGCTGTTGCTTTTGGTGTTTTAGACATGAAGTCTTTGCCCATGCCTATGTCCTGAATGGTACTACCTAGGTTTTCCTCTAGGATTTTTATGGTATTAGGTCTAACATTTAAGTCTCTAATCCATCTTGAATTAATTTTCGTATAAGGAGTAAGGAAAGGATCCAGTTTCAGCTTTCTACTTATGGCTAGCCAATTTTCCCAGCACCATTTATTAAATAGGGAATCCTTTCCCCATTTCTTGTTTTTGTCAGGTTTGTCAAAGATCAGATGGCTGTAGATGTGTGGTATTATTTCTGAGGACTCTGTTCTGTTCCATTGGTCTATATCTCTGTTTTGGTACCAGTACCATGCTGTTTTGGTTACTGTAGCCTTGTAGTATAGTTTGAAGTCAGGTAGCGTGATGCCTCCAGCTTTGTTCTTTTGACTTAGGATTGTCTTGGAGATGCGGGCTCTTTTTTGGTTCCATATGAACTTTAAAGCAGTTTTTTCCAATTCTGTGAAGAAACTCATTGGTAGCTTGATGGGGATGGCATTGAATCTATAAATTACCTTGGGCAGTATGGCCATTTTCACGATATTGATTCTTCCTATCCATGAGCATGGTATGTTCTTCCATTTGTTTGTGTCCTCTTTGATTTCACTGAGCAGTGGTTTGTAGTTCTCCTTGAAGAGGTCCTTTACATCCCTTGTAAGTTGGATTCCTAGGTATTTTATTCTCTTTGAAGCAATTGTGAATGGAAGTTCATTCCTGATTTGGCTCTCTGTTTGTCTGTTACTGGTGTATATGAATGCTTGTGATTTTTGCACATTAATTTTGTATCCTGAGACTTTGCTGAGTTGCTTATCAGCTTAAGGAGATTTTGGGCTGAGACAATGGGGTTTTCTAAATATACAATCATGTCATCTGCAAAGAGGGACAATTTGACTTCTTCTTTTCCTAACTGAATACCCTTGATTTCTTTCTCTTGCCTAATTGCCCTAGCCAGAACTTCCAACACTATGTTGAATAGGAGTGGTGAGAGAGGGCATCCCTGTCTTGTGCCAGTTTTCAAAGGGAATTTTTCCAGTTTTTGCCCATTCAGTATGATATTGGCTATGGGTTTGTCATAAATAGCTCTTATTATTTTGAGGTACGTTCCATCAATACCGAATTTATTGAGGTTTTTAGCATGAAGGGCTGTTGAATTTTGTCAAAAGCCTTTTCTGCATCTATTGAGATAATCATGTGGTTCTTGTCTTTGGTTCTGTTTATATGCTGGATTATGTTTATTGATTTGCGAATGTTGAACCAGCCTTGCATCCCAGGGATGAAGCCCACTTGATCATGGTGGATAAGCTTTTTGATGTGTTGCTGAATCCGGTTTGCCAGTATTTTATTGAGGATTTTTGCATCGATGTTCATCAGGGATATTGGTCTAAAATTCTCTTTTTTAGTTGTGTCTCTGCCAGGCTTTGGTATCAGGATGATGTTGGCCTCATAAAATGAGTTAGGGAGGATTCCCTCTTTTTCTATTGATTGGAATAGTTTCAGAAGGAATGGTACCAACTCCTCCTTGTACCTCTGGTAGAATTCAGCTGTGAATCCATCTGGTCCTGGACTTTTTTTGGTTGGTAGGCTATTAATTATTGCCTCAATTTCAGAGCCTGCTATTGGTCTATTCAGGGATTCAACTTCTTCCTGGTTTAGTCTTGGAAGAGTGTAAGTGTCCAGGAAATTATCCATTTCTTCTAGATTTTCCAGTTTATTTGCGTAGAGGTGTTTATAGTATTCTCTGATGGTAGTTTGTATTTCTGTGGGGTCGGTGGTGATATCCCCTTTATCATTTTTAATTGCGTCGATTTGATTCTTCTCTCTTTTCTTCTTTATTAGTCTTGCTAGTGGTCTGTCAATTTTGTTGATCTTTTCAAAAAACCAACTCCTGGATTCATTGATTTTTTGGAGGGTTTTTTGTGTCTC